CAATCAGATTTTTGTTGGCGGGATTCACTTTAATCATCATCATCCTCTTGTGTCAGAGCCAGAAAAATGATGAAAAGCTCGAGCAAGGTTGAGACAAAGTAACTGCTGGAGGAACAACAGATTCTGCCTTAACTGAAATGATGTTGGTGAGACGCTAAGTTGCTCGCTTCTGACGGGCCGAGGGATGACGAATGCGTGCAGCATGAAAGACGACTAAATGGTTGGTTTACCAGGCTGCCCACTAAGGTACCATTTTAGGTGCCTAGCACAGAACTGCGTGAGTTGAAATGGGAATCTGGTTTGAAAATTAAATCTGAGTAGTTGAAAGAAACATTAACATTTCCTTCCTTTCTCTCAGGTTATTTATCTTTCTTTGCTTTTTATGTCCGCAGTCTTACTGCACCATAACGTCTCTGTCTTATCATTTTTTTATGAAGTTTAATTGTCTCAATTCATCACCTTGAATCACTGCAGCAGTATAGTACAACTACAAGAAAGTACACCTTCATGCGGACCAGGATGTGAGGTGGCGAGCCGCTCTGACAGCAAGGTGATGCAACGAGGAGTAAAAGATGATGTGCTACAGGAACATCCGACTGTGAATGATGCCCTTCTTCCCCTTTATTTCCCCACAGTTAGTGCGTCTCTTTGATCGGCGGCGTCTTTTCTCCGTAGACACAACATCACTGCAGTTTCAGTTGGACTAAATTAATTCCAGATCGCGAGCTCTGCTCTCCAGGATTTGCATATTCAAATTCTCCAGTCAAATCTCATGCAGCCTGACGCAGATTCCCACAACAGGGATCTGGGTTTCATTCCCGTCTCTCTGCTGTAAATTTTTAGCGACAGCTCTTCTTAACCACCGTCGTTTCTGATGTGTTGTGGATCACTGTGGACAGAGTGTCTCGGGGGGTTCAGAGCAGGGTAATCTCTCCAAACTTCTGCAGCTGCCATCTGTATTTCATTGTGTTTTATCATTAGGAGTTCACTATAACGCTGAGGTTTGTTTCCATAAGTGACACCACATGTCTTGAGACAGCACAGCTTGTTGGCTGGACCTAGTAGGGTTCACATAGCACATCTACCAACGGTACTGCTATAAATGGTCTATGTGAAGATTTAAAGTTTTTTATGAATGAATCAGTGAAGTTTCTGATTTAGAAACTATGCTGATGGCTTTGGTGTAAAATTCATTTGATCATTTAGTCTGAGAAGTGGCGATGACTGAAGGTAGCATAAATAGTAGAAGGAGGTTTGACTAAAAAACGTAAGAGCAGCTCATTTAAAATACAAGCTACTGCGTTTCACTCCTTGTAAATTAAACTCTCAGCAGGGCACTTGAATAAATGCACAAGCACATATATGACAGGAAAGCAGCCCATGAGCTGTGAGGAAACAAAAACACGCTGAACATTTCCAGACCAGTTATGTCAGATGCCAAAAGTAAAACCAGGCACTTGGACTGGATCATAGCTTTGAATAGATTCAGCGCGTTTGACTATCTAATTCAAACTGGACAGGTACACATAAAAAGATTTTGTACCAACAAGGTAAAAATCAAAGGGCTGTTAGCTGAAAACATGGCATATCTTGCCATGGTGTGCAGTGTGTCCTTAAAAGATTTGAGGCAGCTGGACGAGTGTAGGAAGAAGCAGTGGAGGAACTACAAAAGAAGAAAGAAGAAAGAAATCTATGGTAGATGTGTCATGTTCTGAGCGAGTGTCTGCTGTTTTGGTATGTTTTTTCGTGCTGGCTTGTTTCCAGACCTGCATCAATCAGCAGGCCACCGCAGCCTTCGACTCATCGCCAGTCCGTCAGCTACTCCTATCGTGGTAACTCAGCTCTTCTCTTGTTATTTGCCTCTTCGTATTTTAACTGCTGTTTCCTTGCGTCTCTACTTTGCTTTTGCTGTTCCTGGAACAATACTCAACTCCCCTGCAGTTCGCTTCGGTGGTCATCTGCCACCACTCACCTGCTCAGGCTGCATAACCTTCGCTGGCTGTCCGTCACAACTCATCCATTCAGGCTACATGCTTCAGCCGCGTTCACCTCACCTCCCTGCCCTTCTGCCCGCCGCTTCTCTCTGGATCTCTGGAAATAAATGAATGGATAAACCAACTCTCTCATTCTGCTCCTCAACCCAACACTGACTCTGTGCTTCAAGTCATTCCTCCATTTACAGGCCAACTCTTTAGTTTGGTGTCGATGAAAACATGATCCTTGTCCCCCTGTCGTGGTTTGGGAACGAGGGTGCACTCAGCACGATTCAGCTCTGGCGGAGTCTGCAGTACTTGTTCCCCAAATATCTTCATTGGGACTTTAGAGAAAAAAGTTGAGGGTTGGGGTCCCTCGATGAACTCTGACAGGCCAATAATCCTGATGTTGTTCCAGTGAGTACGTCCAGTCAGTCAATATTCTTGTTCTTGAGTTTAGCACAAGCTTGAAGCTTCGAGGCCTGGATGCGTTCTTCTGTCGAGCTGGCTTTGGTCTTCAGGTCAGTCAGTGTAGCTTGTCTGTGTCCAGTTTAGCTTTAAGAGAGGCAAGCACTGCTTTAATGTCGGAGGACACGGTCGTTGATATGGACTGTTGGTGCTCCTCCAGTAAGCTGGCCAAGGCGGGCATGCTCATCTGGCTAGCTGAGGAAGGCGAGTCATTT